ATACTAGAAAGTTTATGTACATATTTAAGGTATATTTTTTTTTGTTTTTGTAAAACTTAAAAAATAATTCCATTTTAGATTACGTACTCACTCATAAAGCACTGCATCGTCAAAGAGTGAACTGTTCGTCGAATTAATTAGAAGTCGGTGTATCCTTTGAACGGTTGCTCTTAACAATGATATCTCGTTGCGACGCGAGGAAAGAAAGGGTAGAGACGATGAACGAGAAACTCTCTAAGCATCGTCGTTGCTGTAGAGACGAGGATATCTGAGAAGGTATCCTTACATATTTTACATAATCGTATCAACGCGTGTAAATGTAGAAAATATCGTTTGAAAGTGAACGAACATAAAATATAGAAATAATAAAAAGGCCTTAATCGATACGATTGTAACATAAACTGATAGAAACTTAACCTAAAAAAATTATAAAACCAAAAAATTTTGTCAAACAGTTAACCATGATAATATATTTCTATTGCATACAGGAAGACGTAAAAGGTATATTAAAAGTAATCAGATAGTAAGAAGGAAGTTAATGAAAATTGCAATGTAAAAAAAAAAAATGAAAGGAACTAATTTAATCTAGTGAGTTAGCAAATTGGTTATGCGAGTATAGGCAAAATCAGGTGCCATAATAAAAGAAAAATAGAAACCAACAACACACGGAGTTCCCAAGCGGTCACCCATCTAAGTACTAACCGTGCCCAACGCAGCTTGACTTCGGTGATCAGACGAGAACCGGTATATCCTACGTAGTATGGTCGTTGGTTGAAATAATTTAACTAAACCAAACCTCTTAACGTACACATAACAATGTTTTTCTTCTCTTTTTTCGCAGTATTTCAAACCATCTATTTACCATTTGCTTCTATATTTTCCATTTTGCACGTATCGTGGCAATGATACAGCGTTGCGACTTTGAATATTTAAAAAGTTTTCGGATACCATCGAGGAGAGAGAGTGAAGTCGTATTTACCGTAGGAACTCTGCGAATTTTGATCGACCGATTTGAAAGTCAACACACCACCGGATGCACCACCGCTGAGATCTTTTAAAACGGATTAGAGTTGAGTCGGCGTTTGGATATTTCCACTCGGAGTTGCTTCGAACGACGTTAGCGCGAATCCCGTCGATCCAAATCTGGATATGCCGGAGGCTTGATCTGTGTAATTTTCTTTTGCAACGTATCGCCATGCGGATCGATAGATCGATTCAGACGCATCCACTTACTTCCTGTTCGCTGAGCTTTATTTATACAGGCTGTTTTCGAACGCGGCACCAGCTTATGCGCGTCAAAGCGGAAAAGTTTCTTTGCCAAATCGTATTAATATTTGCAACGTAATAAAAGATCCATTAAAAAATGAAAGGCAATATTCATTTGGGGAATGGTTATTTGCACAGCCTCTGAAAATTATCAAATTGATTGAAACTGTCTTACTGTGTCCCAACGTTATTACTAAATATACCATTCAGTGATTTATCACTTTTCAAAGAAGAGTTCAATACAGATTGAGTTTGAAAATGGCAGATTTCAGATGTCTTACTTTAGATTACGGAATATATGCCAATTTATTTTCCATTAATCATTCTAATTACAATGTTATTTATGTAGCATACCAAAATACACGAGAAGGATAAGAATATATTACATTTAACTCTGACTATTCTAGTCTTAAAATCTGATTTGATCGATCTGAATCTCAGAAAGTGAAGAATTGAGAAGACAATTTACAGAGATCTCAAGAAGAGAGATTGTTCATCACCAGGTTTCAAAGCCTCCATATTTCAATTCATAGTATAACATAAAAAGATGTAATCCTAGAAATGAAACTGTACATTGTTCCATTCGATATTTCCATTTGTCCACAGGAAACGACAGAGATTAAACTTGAAAACCTACGTAAATCTGGTGTCTCTACAATTGAAGAGGAAACACAGGCAATGGTGGCGTAAAATGAACATTTTACCAACGATAGTTTTATCGCGTCTGGACTTGTGAGAGAATCAAAGATAGAAAAGCTTTCGATAACTTGGAGCCTCTTCTCTGGCGGGTCTAGTCGCGTGTCATCTCCCAAATGGATTTCAGCATTGTTGTGCTTGGTAGCTGTACGACGCGCTTTATTTCCTCCTGTTCCCTGCTGACGACGTATCAGCCGAACCCTGACTCTAGATTGTCTCGAACCGTGCACAGCATTCTTCTCAGCTTCGTTGCAGCCCATTAATTTCGAAATTCCTCGTGTGACAAGAGGACGGTTCGCATAAGAACATGGCTTCACAATTCCGTTTTCCTTCGGTTCCCTGTTCTTCTCGAATGGAGCTTCTCGAAAAGAGCAGAGTACAGCTTAAATAGAACACATTTTAAACGGGAGTTCTGCTCTTTGCAGCTTCTTTAAGGCCAAGATCCTTGGTTGCACGGAGCTTACATTTGACGAAAATGGCGCATTCCCCATTATGGTTCATCGTTCCGTGGGACGAAGTGGATCAAAGGTGCGCGGAAGCTTCCAATCGTCAAATGGATTTCGCTATTGCAATGGCCGCTTATAC